ACTCGTAGAACGGACATTCTTGGAAAATGTGTTTGTGACTCTCACGACAACCGCAGTGCAGACAAGAGTCACTCGTACACATTCCCGCTGCGCATCTTCTTACGTTTGTGTACACAGAGCCCTGAAGCAAAACCCGCAAGATTGCACCTGTAAGCGCATTGTTAGGAAGTCGCTCAAAAAATGGACGCAAGTGCGACCACTCATCGTCTGAAGAAAAATTTGCGTCAATCAGCAATCGGGTTCTATAGATATCTATGTTGTCGTGGGAAGGTTCAGAAAAATCCTGTCGGCAGGGAATCTTGCTGAAAAGAGACTGCCTAACTGATCTCGCAAGTTCTTCTTTAAAGAAACGGTGGCTGAACATTTTGAGCTGCAGAGGTGTGTCGTCTCTACGCTTCAATCTAGATGGATCTTCATCACAAATCTCAATGTCCAACTCCTTGCAAAGGTAAGCGATGACATTATGTCTGCCAGCTCTAGTTGCTGGAAGCTTTCGGGTCGATGCTTTGAGAAGCGACGGGACTGTCTTGCAAAAGCTCTTTGCGGAGAGACCAAAACACATGCAGGACCCAAGCTCCGAAGGGATCAAGGAAGACATCGTGACATGTAGCCGAGAATGCAAAAGCACTCCTCATCAAGCTTCGGCCCCATTGAAGATGACGACCATCGTCGGCGATGCCAAGATATGCCAAGCCCCTGCTGGGATGCCGAGAAGACTTTCGAACTAAACCCTAAAATGCTTGAACTCAGGGTGGTCTTGGGGTGGGCTGTCTGCCACGCACAAGTGCAAGCGGCCTGGGTGTGCACACACCAGCGAGCGACCATGACGTTACTAAACCCTAAACCCTAAACCCTAAACCCTAAGCTAGATAGAGGGGAAAACACCCTAACACCCTAACACCCTACACCCAAAACCCTGACGTACACCTCACAACCTCATCGACGGGCCTTGAGCATGCTGCCCAACGCCTGGCTGGAGATCTCACAGCTCAGGGCTTTAGTTCCGGGGGCCTGGGTTTCTGACCTGAAACGGCGAAGTGGGGTTTAAGGTTTAGGGTTTAAGGGTTCAGGGTTTAGGGTTTAGGGGTTTAGGGTATAGGGTTTAGGGTTTAAGGTTTAGGGTGTTTGGGGGCTCGAGATCTCCGCACTTTTGTGGTTCCGGGAGTCTCTTCATGTTGAGCGCTTAGAGAAAGCTTCACGTTATACTTGAACCCCAAATCCTGAACCAAGGAAAGCCCCTTCAAACTCGTTCAACCTGACCACGATAGCGTAGCATGAACACTATCATAGTTACCCTTGCTGCAGCTGCTGCTGCCCTATTTACGCTCTTAACTCCTCCAGTCTAGAGCCTGGATCCTAAACCTTCTAAACCCGAAACTCCTAAACCCCAAGAGGGGTAAGCCGAGTCCTGCATGAGACGGAGTACTCCCGAAGGCCAAAGCACCCAAAAACCCCCCGGCGAGCCTCAACGACTAGAACAGGCGACTTGAGCGACACGATAGCATAGGTAAAACAAGGAACAACCCTAAAGAATAAAGCCAGAGCTGAAGGAAACTACAGGTGGGGAGTTTTGGGTACATAGGGCTTCTATAAGGCTTCCATAAGCTATATAGACCTTCTATAAGGCTCCTTTTACGGTAACTACCCACCTGAAAATGTCCTAGACAGAGGAATAGTATAAGACTATGAGACCCCTATAATCAACCAAGGAGACGCGAGTCCAGGGTCCCGAAACCCCACCGGTGAGGACTCAACACACCTGCGGCTTTGACCACAAAGCTTTCAGTTTCGAATCCTAAAGCCCTAAACCCCTAGACCCCTAAA